TAGGCGAGTGGCTCCAGCAGATCCCGGGAATAACATCGGAGATCTCTGTCCAGAAGAGCGCAGTCCTGGGAACAGCTAAGATACTGCAGGACCCTCAAGCTCCCAGGCCTCTGGTAGAGGACCCCAGCTTGAAGGGTAAACCGCCCGCAGGGGCGTGCTGGGTGTTTTTATAATGTTATCATTGTTATTTTGGTTCCAGGTGGAGATGTGTGTGTGGCAGGTCATGACAGCGGGCCAGTGTTTGAAGAACAGCCGAGCAGTTTAATTTACCCTGAAGGCCTGACTGAAGGCAAAGTGACCCTGAGCTGTCAGGCCAGAGCAAATCCAGCTGCTGCTTATAGGTGAGTCTTACACACTCATTCCCTGTGGAGCCCACATTTTATAAAATGAGTTGGTCTTCTAAGTTTGTTTTAGGGTACTTACTTTGATTCCTATATTAAATTGCTGTCTTATTTTGGTTTAGAATGGGGCGAATAATCTTTTGATCCCCTGGTGAATTTGTACAGGGGGGAAAATAAGTACTGAACACGTCACCAATTTTCTAAGTAAATATATTTCTAAAAGTGCTTTTGATATGAAATTCTCATCAGATATCAGTAACAACACATCCAGTCCACACGTGTAAAGAAATCAAGCCACAGATGTCCATGCAGTGCCTTGTGACCTCCAAACATGGTTCATATTATTGCATTCAAAAACTTGATCTTGAAGTTTTGGTCTCATCTAACCAGACTCTAGTCAACTAACATTTCACAGGCTTGTCTAAATGTTGTTCAGCAAACTTCAACATGCTTTTTCTTTCAGCAATGTTGTCTGGAGTGGTGAGTGTGCATATGGCACTTAAGTGCATTACTTATTGTTTTCTTTGAAACCGTTGTACCTGCTGATTCCTGGAGCTCTCCACAGGTTGTCTTTGGCTCTGGGACAACCCTTGTAAAAATTCTTTTCACTCTTCTTTTTGCAGGGGGCACCTGGTCATGGCCAGTTTATGTCAAAATGATGTTCTTTCCACTTGTGGACTAACCACTGCCATCAGTATGTTTTGCAACAATTAGGTTGCAAAGACCTTGTGAGAGCTCATTGGTTTTACCCATCACAAGCTGTTTATCGGGTGCATTGGTAATGAGACACTTTTTTATAGGCCTTCAGTTTGGACTGAACTGTACTTCACCCACATTTGATGCAAAAGAGCTCATTGCTTTGGACCAGTAGGTTCGGCTACGTACAGGAGAGGCAAACTGAATGAGACTCAGGCAACTGTGAGTTTAGAAAACCGCTGGCTTGTGTATTTTTACTCATTCAGAAAATAAAAGATTGAAAATTAATAACAAACATACTTTTCAAATGAAAGTATCCCTTTTTGGTACCAGTATTTTCCTTCAGTGACCCTGGAGTACAATCACAGTAATCACTTAAAAAAAACCTTACCTGGGTGCACCCTTCTAAGTGTATAATCAGGGTTCAAGTTCAAGATAAACCACAATCTCAATTACCAAAATCCAAATAGCAACGTTCATCTGCAACTTCACAGACTTTGTTAGCTGATTGCAACAACCATTGAGTTGGAAAAATAGATCCAACGGTCCACACCCACTTCTCTTCCTGTTCATGGGATGTATAGAGTCCGTAAAAAGTCCTTAAAATAAACCGTCCATAAGTCCAGGGGGTTTGTGTGAAGAAGGGGAACAGTAATATCAAAGTGGTTTTTTGTTGCAGCTGGCCTACCACACTCTGCTGTGCAGCACAGAACAAAGTCAATTGGTCCGTCAACGGGGTTGGCTCGCCATCGATTACAGGATCCGTTGCAATGCATCGATAGGAAGGACACAAAGGAAAAAATCGGACCTGTCCACGACAGTGTCATAGGACATTAAGTTCCCATATAATCACAGATCACTACTTGCTATCACTTAAGATGTACTATTTGTAACGTTACCCATGTTACAAATTGAAAATAAACACACAATCTGTGCAACAGTTTCAAAAGCTTTTTTTTCCAATAAGTAAAATAAAGTTTTTCGCAAAACATTGTAAACAATTTCCTAATAAATACTAGAAAATTTTGCTTACAATGAACTCATGGAAAGTGCAGATAAACAATAAACAATTAAAATGCTCACCGATCTCAAAAAAGAATGGCGCAGGAGCGCGAGATGGCGCAGGAACGATGAAATGGCGTTGTCTAATTCTCGACCTTCCCCGACCTAACAATGTAAAAGGAACCAAACTAGTTACTCGTCTTACCAATACACATGCAATAAAACAATTTTTCATAAGCAGCAAGTGCTAACTCTTCCGTTTATATCACTTTTCCCCGTACCTCGTTTCAGTTAATCTCCGTCTCCGTCTCTCCTCGCTAGCGTGCTCATGGGGTATTCGTGAGAGAGGAGGACAAACCTGCACTCTCTCAGCCGTAGATGGCGTGCGGGGCACTGCACCACGTTGCAGCAGCTCATTGGCTAAGAGCAACCCACGTTTACTTCAGAACTCTTAACTCTTTCACTGCTGAACCTGTGGCTCATTCACTATAAACCGAGTGTGACTGCTAAGATTGATAGTCTTTTTTTATTTTTTGGTACATTTTCTCCAAGCCATACTTAAATATGGGTTACACAGGTGTCAGCATTGATTGATCATGCTGAATCTGCGATTTGAAATGTGTTCCTCATTGGATTCATCCTACCGTGCAAATAGACTTGGACACAGTAGCCGATCTCTTACAGAACCTATGATATCTTTGGGTGGATCAGCCCGCTGAGGCCAGACTCAGACTCTGAATTTCAGTTATTAGTTTTAATACTTTTAATATGTTTTCAAGTGTTAAGTCCTCATTCTGACTCTAATATTTACATTTTCTCCAAGATCCAGTCGTTAGACACATTGTTGTGTTTCTGTCCTTTTATATTGATAACTGAGCGACTGGAAAATCACAGAATAGCCAACTAATGTAAACCAAGTGGGTGAGAACACCACTTGTCTATATTCTTAGTTAACATTCTTGTTTTGATTTAGCCATATCTCATATGTATTCTGTAATATCAAACATTAGTGGTGGCCCGCTTGAAGCTGACGCTGTGTGTGTCAAAAAGAAGCACTGTGTGGAGACTTGATTCGTTTGGCCAGAGTCACGTGATCAGTGACGTCCGAAGCTTCATTTAGAACCTAACTGCTTCGGTGGTTTATAGGGAAGTGAATCATTCGCGGGATTCATGGAGTGTTTTGATGGTGAGAGACAGCAAACCACTGATTATTGTATTGAGAGATATGGAGCCAGCGAGGAAGCGAGGAGGTTCTGTCGCGTGGGAGTATTTAGAGTTGATTTTGGTCAGTTTTGGTTGGGTTTTCCAGCTTTGTGTTCTTGTTGTTTGTTTTTGTTTAGTGCGTGTTTATTTTTTCTGAAAACGTGAAAAACTTAACATGTCAAAAATCTGCTTTTCATAATATAAATATCATTAAATAACTTTAGAAACACATCCATTTGACTCTTTTTATTTAATGTAATAAAATATATTTTATTTTAAAAATAATCTTAAAATGTTTTCTGGCTGATAGTCTGTGGGACCCAGGAAGACCGTACACCTGCATCTCTACAGTTTCTGTGTGAGAGGATTTTCTTCAAAGGAGAAATCATCTCAGCCATCGCACGAAGGAACAAATTCTCTTTTTAAATAAAAATTTAAAAGGGTTTCCTTAAACGGATCATGTCTTTAATTTGCAAGTACATATGCTTGATCTCTTTCCAGTTCACAATCAATCTACCCCCAGGTCAAAAATATGTGTAAGAAAATTGGCCTAATATAATATTATTTATAAACATACCTGTCCAGCTGTCCAGCGATTAGTGCATGGAGGCAGGACCTCACAGCAGAAGCATACTCAATAATGTGTTGTACATTATTATATGTATTTTTCACTTATTGTATTTACCAACATCAAGAAGTCAGAAGTAAAGAAAGACCACATCATGGTGCATGTTTGAACAAGGGAACTTTATTGATCACAATAATTTATTAAATAAATAAACAAACAAAAACATGTTCAAAGCAGCACAGCGGTGGCCCAGTGTCAGACAGAACTCCACTCTGCAGCGTGAGCAGTCATAATGAAGCAGTTGGTTTTATTTTGTGGATTCAAGCTGCTCTTCATATCTTTGGCCACCAGATGTCACCAGAGAGGACTGTGTTGAAAAGCTTCGAGTAATGAAAACGTGCTTCAATACTTCAGAAAGCTTCATTTGGCCGAGTTTGGTTATGTTTTCCACTTTTACAGATTATATCATGTAAAATCTTGGTTTAAATCGATTCTGACAGGTTTGTTAAGTTAACATGTTTTTTTTTTCATTTCAACTGTTAATTGGTTTAGTTTGAACTCACCTTACCTACCAGTGTGCCAGGAACAAAAGCAGGAAATGTAGTTTTACTGTATTTAATCTGGTTAATCTGAGGTCACAGGAAGACACCAGGTGAAGAAGCAGGAGAACCTTTGTAATTTAATAAAACTGATTTTAGACTGTGTTTATAGAGAAATTGATTTGTTGTAATACGTATTGTGTCTGAGTCCAGAAATCTATCTTACCTATCTAATGGAGTAGTCCAGGGTGAGATTGTTTAAGTGGACCATTTAAGCAGAAAAGAACCAGGTCAGTGTAGCTGTTTACATTTTCACCTTCATTTCCATTGAATTAAGTTCAGTTATGTTTATTTGAACTGAGTTAACTATGGAGTTGAGTTTCTTATTAAGTTTTGTAAATATTGTTTGGTCACAAAATGTTGAATAAATCACTCGCTCCACTGGACAGCATCAGTCTCCTGCCCTTCTTTAGCTGCTAAGGTCAAGTCCTTCTGGAAATGTGTCCACTCCTTTATGAGTGAGGACATGGATCGGAGAGTCAGTCAGCAGGATGGGAGGAGTTAGAGAGAAACTTGGGGTTTGTTTGAGAAAAGCTGGCCGTGAGTATGTTAGTATCACAGACCCCAGTGACTGACTCAGAGTTGAAGTGAACTTTTTTCTGCAACAGGAAGCCAGAGTTGCAGCATCTCAGGCTGAACAAACTCAGTTGTTAGCTAAACCTGCCCAGCCAATTAATTTTTTATACTGCAGGATAAAAAAAAGCCTGAATCAAATGATTATTTCCATTTATCATGCAGGTGGCTTGTGAATGGGACTGCGGTTCCACTGAATTTGGACCGATACTCCCTGGTGGCTGGTACCCTGGTGATAAGCAGCCCCGACCCCATCCGGGATACAGGCTCTTACCAGTGTCTAGCTATCAACCGCTGTGGCACCATCATTAGCAGAGCAGCCAACCTCAAGTTTGGTTGTAAGTAATAAAGACCTTTCAGTCATTTTACTTGTTTGAGCTGCCTGCTTTAAAAACATGGCAGAAAAGGCACCAGACAAAAACACGAGTTTACATTCTTTGTCTGCTTCTGGATCAGAGCTCGCTGGTTTTAGGACTTTTCTCTGTTCTTTTCAGCATTTATTACTTATTTGTCTGCATTTGCTTGTTCCAGACCTCCATGACTTCCCTCCAGATGGCAGAAGTCCTCAAACAATAACTGAAGGTCAAGGAACGTTCTTGGCCTGCCAACCTCCTCCACATTACCCAGGTACCTCTCTGTTTCATTGTTCTTGAAAATGATAATTTATTATATATATTGTCAGAGAGCCACAGAATAGTCCTGTGTGTGGCTGGAACATTAGTTTTTTCTTTTGCATCATTTTCCTTGACTAAGAAAAAAAGAGTCGTGCTGCAGCTAGCCACCTCACCACTAGTGCCCAGGGCCAGAAGGTGATTAACAGGTCAGAGGGGCAGAATATGACAGTAAATATGAAATGAAATCTGATACATTGTGACTGTTATGATTGTGACTTTTTACAGTGAAATCTAAGCGCTGACAGAATGAAACGACTAAAGTGACTGACGGCGATTCTTTTCTTCTCTAGCGCTGTCTTACCGCTGGTTTCTCAACGAGTTTCCCAACTTCATCAGGAAGGATGATGGGCGCTGGTTTGTGTCACAGGTCACGGGGAATCTGTACCTGGCCAAAGCTGAACCTAATGACACAGCAAACTACTTTTGCTTCACAACGATCAACATGGAAGTTAGCACGAAGAGCACATTCAGCAAGGCCAACCAGCTCACGGTAGTCCCTGATGGTATGAAAGACCTACAGCTGCATCACTTGTCTCTTAGCATCCTCACGTATAGTTGTTCCGCTGTCTTTAGTTGAGCATCAATGATTCTAAAAACATAGGATAACAGGGTGTTGTTGTTCACTGATAGCCCAGTGCAACGTCCACTTTTAAGTTGTGGCATTAACTTGCCTGTTATCAGTTTACTAAAGGCTGAAGCAAAGTCGACTCAGAGACAGCTGCTGACTTTCTCCTTCTCATCAGTAACCCTGCTGGTCAGCCCATGGAATACTGGCCCAAGCCTTCCACTAAGGATCTCGTTTAGACTGAAAGGATTTGGAATTTTACACTAAAGAGAGGTTATGGCACAGAATTAAGTGATAATCTAATCTAAGAAGATTTGCTTTTTCATTCCAGCCAATCCCAGGAAGTCAGCTCCAACCATTAAAGTGCGCTTCCTGGCAGATACCTATGCCCTGGCTGGACACACCACCCAGTTAGAGTGCTTTGCTTATGGAAAGTAAGTGTCCATCGCAGAAATTGCTGTGTGATGCTTCTGATGTGTCTTATATTATAGAGTGATGCGGTTCAGCTGTAGTAATACATGTCCAGGCATTTTTACATCCTCATACCTCAAACCTAATTATCACTCTCTGATCGCTGCACTGCATTTTATTGACCTCTTACTTCCATCTCTCAACTCTCGCTTTGCTTTTCATCTTAAAGTCCAGTTCCAAAGGTGCGGTGGAGGAAGGTGGATGGTCTAATGCCATCCAAGGCAGGCCCCACTGTGGAGGGTCCCACCCTGACCCTTCCTGAACTCTCCTTTGATGATGAGGGCATTTATGAGTGTGAAGCCTACAACTCAGAAGGAAGGGACACGTACCAGGGACGCATTAATGTCCAAGGTGACTACAGGTTCTTCATTGTGCAGCAAAGCATGTGTCATTTCATTTTTAATGCACTCGTGTTCATTTTATAGCTCATGTGTATTTGTTTTTTCTTGACTTTCTTCTCGTCCAGCTCAACCAGAGTGGTTGCAGGTGATGACCGACTCAGAAGTGGAGATTAGCTCAGATCTTCAGTGGAGTTGTGTGGCTGCTGGAAAACCTCGACCCTCTGTACGCTGGCTACGCAATGGACAGCCACTTAGTACACAGGTAACACAACACACACACACCTGTCCATAAAACTTCTGAAGAAGGCATTTGGCATGACCATGTGGGTACAGTTATCCTTTGGACTCGATTTTGAAGCAGAGAGATATTTCTTTGATGACAACCTCTCAGCCCATCATGATGGTACTGTGGGCATTCCAGTAGTTCCAGCTGGTGGCAGCATCAACCCTTGGTGCTTTCTGTGTTGTTCCTTAACCCTTTAAAGCCGGTCAGAGCGGCACGCTCTGTTTTGCGTAACTATTTTTAAATCCCTGTAGAACCGGAACCGCGTAAGCTAGCGCAATAATTTGTTTTGCATATGAAACCGGAGGAGTTGTACTTACATCTGATGCCATCAGCTTGTCCTCGGTCACGGTTTCGTTCCACATATAGCTTTGCAAAAATTGCATAAAAAGCGCTTGCAGGAACAAAAACATAATACTCCAGAAACACGCTTTGCCGATCCGATCAGCTGTTCATAACACTTCCCACATTGAAAAAGACGTCACCCTAACTATCACATGTCCGCCATTTCCTGCCCGAAACCGGAAGTGACGTCACATTCGTGAAAAATATAGTCTTTTACTTGCAGGCCTTAAAAACCTATACTGGTGTTTTTATAAGTCATGGTTGACTTTATGCTTTTCTGAATAGTTGCTGGGATGCTTAGAACTCGAATTGCACTGCTGGAAATAGTTTATTTTGATGCACCTGCTGTTTTCTTTGCAAATTTGCATCATAGGATTGTTTTTTGTTTTTCCTGCAGTATATAAAAATTGCTGTATCTCCAAAATAAAACTATGAAGACACTTAAAATAAATTTCCTGTTGTAAACTATTTTTTGCAACTTTTTTGTATTTACAGTTTTGAGGGATAAGCCTCTTAAATTTCTCCAAGTAGAAATATATGTAAAAAAACAAAACAATTTTCAATTCTTTTGTAGTTTATTGCACTTTTTTGTAATTAATGTAGTTACTATGCACTTAATGCATACATATTATTAAAATATGGGATATAGCACTTGTATTGATGTATAGCAACTTGAAATGCTCCCAAAAATGGCTCCACAGCATGTAAAAATATAAAGTAAGCTCTGGCGGACTTGGTTCTATGGTAGGTCTTACATCCTAACAAATTTCCTCTCATGGGTGGGTGACAGGTTTATGGAAGCCCGTTTCCCCCCCTAAAAAAAAAAAAAAGGATCCATAACTCAAAATTTCGAGTTATTTTCTCGAAATTTTGAGTTACTATCTCGAAATTTCGAGTTATTATCTCGAAATTTCGAGTTATTATCTCGAAATTTCGACATATTAACTCAAAATTTTGAGAAAAGCAACTCGAAATTTCGAGTTAGCGCTGCCAATCAGTAATCTACATGAATGACGTCATTTCCATGTTACCCGGAAGCTGTAGCCCTCAGCTACAAATGCTACAGCTAAGCTACCGGTATTACATCCAGTCGTGAATGCACAGATTGCTGAGTGTTTTCAGCCTGGCTTCACAAATGATGAAATCCCTGTGTTATTAGCTGAATCACATGGTGTTACTATCAGCAAACATACTTCAATTTGTTGGGATCCGTTTTTGAGTGCGCGGTCCTGCGCCATATGCTTCCGGGTAACAAGAAAGCGACCTCATTCACGTATATTTTTGATTGGCAGAGCTAACTCGAAATTTTGAGAAAAGTAACTCGAAATTTCGAGTTATATTTCTCGAAATTTCGAGAAAATAACTCGAAATTTCGAGAAAATAACTCGAAATTTCGAGTTATGGATACTAGTTTTTTTTGTTTTTTTTAGTGGCGGAAACGGGCTTCCATACAGGTTGGATTTTCAATCAGATCAATTTAAATTTTTAGTTTTTATTTATATAGCACATCATCACAACAACAGTTACCTCACCTACAGTACCCTACAATAGGGTAATGTCAGTAACGTAGTGGGGACGGAGCTGGACTCTCTTAGGGTGGTGTCTGAGAGGCGGATGTTGTCCAAGATAAAGACAATACTGGACAACACCTCCCACCCACTCCATGACGTGCTGGCCAGTCACAGGAGCACACTCAGTGGGGGACTGAGATTACCCATGATGCACCACTCCTCCATCTAATAGGCTGTAAACACTGTAATAGTTACACCTTTTTGCACACGCTCTTTTCTTACTCGCTAATGTTGCTCTCAACTTTCTTGATATTTATCTATAACCACCTCTGTCAATCATTGATATTTATTATTGAGTGATTGGTATATATTGTGCTATTTCTTAAATTTGTAAATCTGTAACATATTGTATTGTTAAATAGTTTGTTGTCTGTTTTTGTTACTGTACAGGAGCAACTGTAACCCACATTATTTCCTTAGGGATTAATAAAGAATTCTGATTCTGAGTACAACAGCAAATCAGAATAACTTGTATTTATGTCCAATTTCTAGAACTGACCTCAAAATCTGCAGTTGTTCAGAAATGGCTTCATTAACCTTCTGGAATAGTATTCTGAAGTTCCAAGACCTTAGAGATATTGTAAATCTGAAAACTCCTTAAAAAGGGGCATGGGGTTTATGGAGAGGGCTATGAGCACATTGTGGCATAACTTTTATAAGTTCCTTATTTATTAGGGACTTCGTCTTGATCCCAACCATGGATACTGCCTCTTAAAAGCAGTGAAAAAAGGAGCCAAAGCATAATCAGACAAATAAGGAAAGCTGTGCTTCAGTTAATGATTCGACCTAAGAACACCTGCGTGTATGAATATGGCTTTTGTCCTTTAATAGTTTAATTGTCACTTTAGTTATTTCTGCAAACAGTGAGCTGAATAATGCAGTACTGTACAGCATGCTTTGTTACACATGTCACAGATCGGTTTGTGCTTTCTGTAACTTTATCTCTTCTTTACCTTCTTCGGACCTCAAGGATCGTGTGGAGGTGAATGGAGTTCATCTTAGAATCATCAACCTTGCTCTGGAGGATTCTGGCATGTACCAGTGTGTGGCTGAAAACAAGCATGGCACCATCTACTCGACTGCTGAGCTCAGGGTCCAAGGTAGATAGAGACTTTTCATTCTCGAGCCAAGTAGTCAAGTTTTTATTGTCAACCCAACAATATACACTCAAGTACACAGTCGGGTGAAATATCGTCCTCCTATATCAAAGGTGCAGACTGTACAATGAAAGAAATTAAAATACATACGTACAACTATACAGAAACAAGATAAACTACGAATAAGTACAACAGTGTTGTGCTTGAATAGAAATAGAGTAAGAATTAGTGATGGGAATTCCAGCTCTGGCTCTTTCGGCTCCCAAACTGGCTCTTCAGGTTGTTTTGTTGCTTTAATTAATTTATTAT